TCGATAAATTTTTTTTTATTTTGTTTCTACATAGCTGAAGAATAAAAATAAAAAAAATTTATTGAATTTAATTGGCGGTTATCGAGATATCTTTGCTTAAACTTTTGAAAAAATTAAATTTTATGTAAATATGATGCATCAAGAACGCCACCTCAATTTAGAGGGTAAATCAGACCTACCAAAAAAGTAACTGCAGATCTACCAAAAACGTAACTTTTGAGCCAGTGATCATTTAGATCACGTGAAAAGTCTGCTGTCTGCTTCCGTGATTCTGATTGGTTAAATACATGGGTGAGTCTAGAGTTGCAGATGAAACTAATTAATTTCACCAGTTTCACCTGGTGCACCATCAGTGTACCATTGAAGATTAGCTTTATCTATAACTCTAGTTTTATCATAGGTGCACCAGTTTCACCAGTTTCACCTGGTGCACTATTGGTACACTATTGAAGATTAGTTTCACCTGCAACTCTAGATGAGTCAATAGAAACACACCAAATTTTTTCTAAGCAAATTTTTTTAAAACTTTGAACAAAAATAACTTAACAATAACTTAATCAAATTTAATAAATTTTTTTTAAAAATAATTCTAATAACTTATAGAAAATAAATAAAAACATTTTACTAGATTTGATTAAGTTTTTGTTGAGTTATATTTGTTTAAAATTTAAAAAATTTTCATTAAAAAAGGTTTGGTGTGTTTCTATTGACTTAATCCACATGCTGATCATTTACAAGATAGCTTAAAAAATGTGTAGCAAATCCTCAATTTTGATTGGCTAAAAGCAACAATCAAAAATTAGGCCAGAATTATTTATAATTTTACTAATGAAATTACAGCTATCTATTAAGTAAAAATTGTTTCTGGGTCAATTTTACTATAATATGGACCTATTTTTTAAAAATTTTCATTTTTGTAATAAAAATTAAAAAGTTAATTCTGGTCAGAAATTAGTAAACAATTATGTAATGCTGACCAAAATTTTGAAGATCCTCAACTGTTAGCCAATCAAAATCAAAGTTTTGCCACACATTTTTTGTGAGACATCTAGAGTTAATTAGAGATATCATTGTATAAATTCTCTAGTATCACTAATTTAAAAAATTTACAAATCATATTCTAGTCAATTAAAATTTTTTTTTTAACATTAATACTATAATATATTAAGATATATTTTTTTTTAAAAAAAAAAAAAAACAGAAAATTATAAAAGATTTAAAAGCATTTTTTTATTTATTAAAATTGTAATAATTTTTTTATAAAAAAAAACAAAAATAAAAAATTTCTTAAAAATATTTTCATTTGAAACAATTCTTTATGGACTTGAATTATCTTTTAATGAATTTGTCAAAAGACAACTTCTAATCAAATCCAATTATGAAGCTGTTACTACTTTTATTGAATTTTTAAAATCCATGAATAATAGAATTATCAATAAACAAAAAGAAGATTTACTTGAATATTTCATTTACAATTTCTTCAAAAAAACAGAATTATTTCATTTATTAATAAAATGCTCATTTACTTTAATAGAACTAATATGTCCTGTATATCTGATAGAAATATTAATCTTCAAGAGTAATGACTAAATATAAAAAGTAAAATTTTTCTAAACACAATTTCAAAAAAGCCAAAACTGTTTATAGGATTTCTTGTATCAAATATTGAATTGGGTGATAATACCAGAATAGAGTTAAAAGATTTACCTATTAAGGATCAGATCTGTGTATTTTTATTATGAGATTATTGATGAAATTTTTAAATATGCTCAAGTCTTGTAGAAGAAACAAGAAAAGCTTAGAAAAAAGAATAAGGAAAAGGAAAGAAAAGCCAATGAGTTAGAAACTGAAAATAAATTTCTATATAAGCAAAACAAAAAATCAAAGAAAAATTTCAAAATAGAATTAAAAATCTTGAAAGTAACCTCAAAGATGAGATTAATACTGAAAATACAGATATTAAAAAAATGATCGACAATAAATATATAGAATATAGAAATGAAAGCCAAGCAGTGAATAAAAAACTTGATTTAGTTTTGAACAAATTAAATTGAATATACTGGTTGAATTCTTATTAATATTTAATAATACACAAATATTATTGTCACGGTGTTTCTTAATGCCCCATGTACTTGTAGCGGTACTCATGTGACTGGTGATCGGGTACGTGATCAAATATTGTGATTGGGGATATGCATAATCCCGATGTCTAAAAATAGAATTGCATAAACAATGTAGTAATAGAAGCGATTAGTATCACATGAACAATGTAGCAATTAATAGCGATTAGTAATTAATATGTGATTGCATGAATAATATAGTAATAAAATATGTATTAGTAATAATATATAAGGCATCGATCCAAATAGGGGAGATGTCTAGCTTTGATTCTTCGTGAATAATAGTTTCGCTTTGTGAATAAGCTTCGTGCTTAGTGAATAAATTATATACTTGTGTGAATACATTATAGGTGGTAGTATCTGGTACGATACTCCAGTCTTCGTGTATCTGCCAAGCGAGTGAAGTTACATAGTAAGATCAACGATTATGCCATAGCAAAGGAAAGCTACATGACACAAAGGACCTGGGCAAGTGAAGGTTCTCTCGTAGAAGTTTAAAGAGAAGATTATGAAGGCCGTTGACCTTCAAGTACCATATTATTATAGTCATTGTGAAGAAAGCATAGATGATTTTTTGTTCAACTTCGAAGCCTATACTGCATCCAAGGGATGGAATGATTCTTGCATGAAGTTGATTGTGAGCCAGCATGTCTCTGAACGACTAAGGCCGTGGGTTAGAAATGTAATAAGGATGACTAAAAGTTGGAACGAATTAAAGTTCAACATTAAAAGAGAAGTGAAAATGTCGTATGACGGTGATATAAAGTTAATCAAGCTAATGGACATTAAACAAACCAAAGATGAATTGATTGTATGCTATACTAACCGATTCGAAGCTCAAGCATTAGTGGCGAAAGGATATGTTCGTCGGGAGGCTGAAATAAAACGGATGTATATTAAAGGCTTGAATGAGAAATATTGAGAGAAGGTAAATCATGATAGTCCTAAAACGTATGAGGATGCAAAGAAATATGCACTAAAAGTCGAAGGATATACGAAGGAGAACAAATATGATAAGGAAAAAGCCATCAGAACATTGAATAATCATCTCAGCAAACCTGTTGAGGAAAGAAGTGAAAGATCTTCAGATGGTGAGTCATGTGGAACCAAGTATGGTGTAAGTAAATAGTTGGCAGAAATAATGAATCCTGTGAAGGAAGTTTTTGAGAACATTAATTTGTTAGCAAGTAAGGCTGTGAGAAGCCGATGTGGAGTTCAAAAGTGTCACGATTGTCGATACAAACATCGACATTCACGACTATGCTACGAATGTCGTCGTCCAGGGCATAAGGTACGTGATTGTCTGAATCAAAAGGAAAAGGATCCTGAGACCCAAATCATTCCTGTGCGATTGACTCTGTTGGAAAAGAGTAGAGAAATAAAAATAAAAACTCTATCTGATTTAAAGGAGCATGAAAAAGAAGAAAGTGAAGCTGGAATTAGTAAGGATGAAATTAGTGTTGAAAAGGATAAACATAAGACGTTCACTTATTGTCAAAAATCCGTAGATATAGGTAATATTAATAGAATCTATAATGTTGGCTACTGCAACGTTGATGAAATTGGAGTCGATAAGGAAAACAAACCTGTATGTTCCGGGGATTCAAGCTCAGATAGTAGAGAAATGATGGTTGATTTGAACGAAATTAGGGTTGAAAAAGATAAATATAAAGCATTTACAAATTATCAAAAATCCGAGAACGCAGATAATACCGAAGGGATTATAAATGTTGAGATGGAAGCGCCGTTGGATATGGTTGTGAAGATGGATGCGATGATGGTAGGTTTGTTGGATACGTTGAGGGAATGGGGAAAGTTGGATGATGCTGATGGATTGTTGTAGAAGTAGGTTGAACTTCGAGGATGAAGTACTTGGGGTCGAGCTCATCTGTCGCGGTGTTTCTTAATGCCCCATGTACTTGTAGCGGTACCCATGTGACTGGTGATC